TGCGAGAAAGAAGTCAGCTAATATTGGGCCTAATGGTGAACCCATAGCTATTCCATCTACTTGTCGATAGTATGAACTATTGAAGACGAAGTGAACATTCATTGTGCATTTAAGAAGTAATTCTTTGAGGCTACACAAGGGGATTCCTAAGTCTAATTGCCTATCGGTGATTTCTTGACAAATATAATCCACTGTTTCCAAAAGCGGTACGTTAGTGAATAGTGATGATACATCCATGGATAACATGCGTTTACACCTCACATTAGTCTCGGATATTTTAGAAATAAAGTCGAAAACATCACTAATTCTATGTTGCACAATTTCTCTGTGCAAAGGACCCAGGATCTTAACTAACCACTTCGCTGTTCCGTGAAATGGAGAGTTATACATATCTAAAACAGGGCGAAGAGGAAGACACGGTTTGTGCACTTTTGGTAGACCGTAAAGACGTGGAGTATTGGTACCCGTAGGTTTCATGGACTCATACGTGGTTGATGATAATACTCCTATTTGGTACAGGTTTTTGAGGGAGTCAGTCATTTGTTTCTCAGCTCTTACATTGAGGAATAACACCTCTATCCCTAGGTCCCAAATTTAGTGATTATGCTCCTAAAGTTGATCAATTAGACACTGATATACAGTTTGAAAATTTGTATTCTCAAACGTCAGATCTTACGCCATCGTCGGACGATGAACTAACTAGGTTCAAAACGACGCTAGTGGACAGCTGCCAGCAATACAAGAATAATAAACATTCAGTAAATAGTCTTTTATCTAAACAACACAGAGAAGCTCTAAGAGAACTTAGAAGCAACGAAAGTTTAATCATTAGCAAGCCGGATAAAGGTGATGGTATAGTTTTACTGGACAAAAGCGATTATGTTGAAAAAATGGAAGGTATTTTGAGTGATCAAACTAAATTCCAATCGCTTGGTGTTTCCAAAGACCTCAATGTAAGAGCTGAGAAACAAATGACTGACTCCCTCAAAAACCTGAACCAAATAGGAGTATTATCATCAACCACGTATGAGTCCATGAAACCTACGGGTACCAATACTCCACGTCTTTACGGTCTACCAAAAGTGCACAAACCGGGTCTTCCTCTTCGCCCTGTTTTAGATATGTATAACTCTCCATTTCACGGAACAGCGAAGTGGTTAGTTAAGATCCTGGGTCCTTTGCACAGAGAAATTGTGCAACATAGAATTAGTGATGTTTTCGACTTTATTTCTAAAATATCCGAGACTAATGTGAGGTGTAAACGCATGTTATCCATGGATGTATCATCACTATTCACTAACGTACCGCTTTTGGAAACAGTGGATTATATTTGTCAAGAAATCACCGATAGGCAATTAGACTTAGGAATCCCCTTGTGTAGCCTCAAAGAATTACTTCTTAAATGCACAATGAATGTTCACTTCGTCTTCAATAATTCATACTATCGACAAGTAGATGGAATAGCTATGGGTTCACCATTAGGCCCAATATTAGCTGACTTCTTTCTCGCAAAACTTGAAAACGGGAAATTGAAGGATACCATCAAGGAGTTGGATATGTATTACCGATATGTCGATGATACATTTATCTTAGCTGATGAGAAGGTTAACACAGACGAATTGTTAATTAAATTCAACAACATCCACCCTTCGCTTACCTTTACTTGTGAAGAGGAGCAGGAGAATAAACTACATTTCCTGGATGTCTTGCTAAGTAGGAGAGAAGATGGGTCACTTGGGAGAAGTGTGTACAGAAAAAGCACATTCACAGGGCAGTACACACACTTCCTTAGTTACGTGCCCATTAAATATAAAAGGAATCTTGTAAAATGTCTCGCGAGCAGAGCAAGGAAGATATGTACGGAGGACCTCTTACAAAAGGAATTTGAATATATTCACGATTCCTTGACGGAGATGGGTTATCCGAGTAGTTTCATAAAGAAACATATGAAACCATCAGAGAAGAAACCTGTGACTCTGACTGCACATAAGAAACCTCTATTTATTAAGTTACAATTTAATGGGGACTTATCTAGTGAGATTCTATTCCAAAGACTTTCAAGGAGCATACGTAGAACATTTTACGCAGCACACCTATGTTTGTCATTCTCTAGCCGACGAATGATTGGGACGCAAACGAAGGATAAGCTTGATAGTTTTGCCACATCTATGTGTATTTATCAATTCAACTGCACCTGCGGTGACAGTTATATTGGGCGTACTACTAGACAGCTTAGCCAACGTGTTAGTGAACATCTCCCATCGTGGTTTGGCAAAGGACAGACAAAAACAATCCGAAGCTCAATTCTGTCACATCTAATTGATAGTGGTCATGTAGTCGATAAAACGAAAGCCTTCAAAGTAATTCATCGTATCCCTCCGAATCTTTCTAATAGACTTCGTATTCGTCTACTGCACACAGCTGAGGCGATAGGCATTCGAACTATTGAACCTAAACTATGCATTCAAAAGAAGTTCGTGCAGCCATTATCCCTCCCGTGGCCTAATAAGACATAACCAACGAAAGACTTCTACACCACCCTTTATTTATATTTCCAACCCCTTTCTTATCATCCCTTAATCTTATCTTATATTCATTATAAACGTGTTTCATTTCCTTCCCCTACAATCTAACATTACGTAATCGGTTCATTTGTTTTTACTAGCCTTTATCGACTACTTCCACCTGAACAATTGTTTGTTTAATCATACTGTTTTTCATTATTCGTGTTATCACAGATTGCCTCATTTTTTCATCCTTATTATTGATAAGACCATTATTATTATTATTATTATTATTTTTATTATTATTACCACTATTATGACTAACTGCACAATTTATATTCACCATCGTATTATCCTATAGACAAAACACCATGATTGGTTTATATATGAATTTTTATTTGTAAACTTATATATATTAGAGTTAAGCCTGATGAGATCTAATTGAAAACAATATTGTTCGCTTAAATGTTTTGTTTTAAATAAATAAATAATAAATACTCTCAGTGGCCAGGTCTCACTGCCATAAGGGAGGATGGAGCGGACTGATGAGCAATACACCCGCCCTTTGGTCGATAGTCGAATATCTCGTCTACGCCAGAGACGGCGTAAACTGGCATGTGCGAAACTAGGCCCCTGTACCCGTGCTGAGATTTCGTCGGAGATCAACACGTTGGCGCTGGCTGATGGTACTTTCTAAATAAGTGAAGCGGTCAACGTACTCTACCACTTCACTTCCTATTTTTAATCCAGGAGTCGATATAGTCCAGTCCTGTAACATCATCTTGCATTTGGCAGGAGCGAGTCGCATGCCAAACATTCGTAGATTGCAGCTCAAGGTGTTTAGAAGACTGCATTTTGTCAGCGTCCTCGCCTAGAAGGACTATATCGTTTGCATATTCTAAGTCAGCAAGATTATTCCTTGGTAGCAAGTCAATCTCTGAGTCACTGAAGTCACTTAGGGTTAAGTCCATTAGTACATCTATGATGAAGTTGAATAGAAATAGGCATCCTTGACGGACACCACTAGTCGTCAGATGACAACCCGCCGTAAGCCCTCACCTGGCTGCATGAGTTCGAGTAGTGCCTTAATCAGTGCAATGTATTTTCTCGGAATTCCCTTTACGGCCAAGCATCTCCAGAGTGAGTACCTCTCGGTCGACAGAGTCGAATTCCGCCTTTAGGTCAAGAAGTATAATGATTGTTGGACGCCGGTAGGAATTCCTATGTTCTAGAATCTGTCGGAGGGTGATCAATACACCCTATTCCTGGTCTTAAGCCTTCCTGGCTCTCTCGTGTTTGTGCCTCCCGAGTGCCACTTAGTCTACGCATGATTATTGAGCCTAAGACTTTAGATACTATATTAGTCAAGCTAATTCCTTGGTGATTATCACAGGAAGACTTGTCTCCCTTCTTGTGTATGGGAATAATCAGTGACTTACACCTACCCGATTAGACATCCTCTGATTCCTAGACGCTGCCTAGAACCTTAGTTAATGCAGACAGTAAACTGTCTCCACCGTACTTAAATACCTCTGGAGTCATTCCATCAGGTCCTGCTGCTTTGCCTAGTTTCAGATTGGTGACAGCTCTAGTAACCTCAGTTGGGGATGGAGGACCTGTGTCTATATCCCATTCAGGGAGGTGTTGGATGTTCGGCAGGTTGTGTGTGGCTGTAGGCCAATTAGATTGCTTCTCATAGTGTTCTTTCCAGCGTTCCAGTCGTCTATCCTGGGAGCTAATTATTGTGCCATTTTTCTCCGAGATTGTTTCACTTATGATTTGCCTTCTCCCACCCGTTTCCCTGATGAGTCTAAAGAGTTGCCAACAGAAGACAGGCGATAACGATGACGACTACCAACAGCCATCATCGTCAATGGGAGAAATCTAAAGTAAGTAGTCTCAATCAAAAAGCAATATTATGTTAACCACATGCGACAAACCAATCAAGGAATGAATTGTAAGGGGGGACAGGCGTCCATCAATCTGAAACCAGTGCAGACCTACAGCAGCCGGCACAAGGATGAATATCAGTATTTTCAACACTTGACGCTTGAGCCACCGGAAGTACTGCATATATGTATATACATACATATATATCACATGGATAGGAAAGTCCCAGATTATTTCCGGTCAAGGGTCAAATTAATGAAAATTAAAATTAGGAATATTAGAATGCCATAATAAACAGGAGGATGCCTTCTTAATATCTCCTATGACCCAATGTGTATATTCCGTGATATACATGTATAAAGATTGGGAACAAATTTACTTTGCTTGATCCTTTTTCCCTGAATCTTAACATGAGAGAAAACATACATCTTGGACGATCGAACTTTGACCACAAAATAGTTAATTTTTAATTCACATTCCCTTGATACAGGACGGTTTGTAGACCATCTGCAAGACCTAAATAGATGCAATCGGTAAAGCACGTTAGAGCGATCACAGTCAAGGTTGCATAACAATCAGTCATTAGTGGAAAAGACGTGAACTTACTACGTTTCGCACCAGTATCCTTACTAAGATCGCCTTCATTATCACCTAGGTCTTCATCCCCTTCACCAGCGGTCTCTACCTCCTCGTCATCTTCGTATCCATCCATAAGTCGGCTTTTTTCGACTTTATTTTCGGTCTCCTTCGCTTTGTATATGAGTAGCGAGCAGGAGGCAGTTCAAGACCACCATCTTCTCCATCTTCTTCTTGACGTCGATGTTGATCATGATGTCGATCCAACAGCATGATTGAATTTGTTGTGAATTCACAATGACCATAACGGCACTTAAGGCGGCCAACTGCTCCTCTTGACTGACGTGCATTACGTTCTTCAGCATGCATGTTGCGGATATGCGTATCTAATTCTTTTTTTACCTCAAATGTTGATTCGCAATAACGGCAGACGTGACGACGATTGACTTTCAAAGCATGAGCTCTTGTTATATGATGATTCAGTTGATTGAAGCCAGGGAATCCACGTTCACCACACACTGGACATGATATTATTTGACTGCCTTCGTGAGCTTTAACGTGGGCTTTTAGTGATGCCACGTCACTCACATAAGCATTACATGGTAAACATCGAAATTTAGTTTGAAGAGTACGTACAACCCGACAGTTTCGTGTATGTTTATTCAGATTGTATATACTGTCGAAGGTAACCGCACATCCACAGCATTCTAAAGATAACTAGAGTAAATTAGACTAACATGCATATATTCAACTTACTTGCGAGGAAGACATCATAGCAAAGTGCTCACGAAGTTCATGTTCTCTTGTCCGCAGGTGAGCAAGATAAATGTCATACGATGAAAAGGCTTTATTACAGGTATCGCAACGAAATATTTTATCACGATGAATATGGCGATTCCGATGTGTTTTCATGTTGGCTTTTTGTGCGAACCGTTTATTGCAAACATCACATACAAAAGGTTTCTCTCCAGTGTGAGCACGTTTATGATGTTCCATGGTTCCGCCATTATTTGTCATGTAGTTGCACTGGTCACAATGAAATTTGAAATTAGCAGGATTTCTCTTTGGCTTTTTGGGATCGACATGACTACGTCGAGCATGAAGGAATAGTTGACTGAGGGTCTCAAAAAACTCTTCACATTGCCGACACGTATATACTTTAACGAAATGCTTTTCTCTCATATGCTTAGTAAAAGCATTAGCATTGGCATACATTGCCGGACACGATGGACAGCGGTAAGTTACACCATTAGATTGAACGAAGCCTGGGTCATAATACGCTTTTGAGTTTGGATCCCAAATTTGCATTTGATCTGCTGGTAGTTCAATTACTTGTGTTCCTTCCATACTGGGGTCAGCGAACTTTTTAAAATGTAGTGAAAAATTTGGAGACTTACCTGCAGATACTCTGTGCCATTTTCAGTCGCAATAGCTGTGACAGCACCTGAAGCGATCAAACTTTCCAGTGTCGCCGTGTCATCAGCCGCAATCAGAACCATTTCTTCTCCCTCGTTAGATAATCCCATTCCGTCCAACTGTAAAACTACTTGTCCATCTTCAGTTGCGCTTAGTGGTATAGCAGTGTAGGTACCATCAGCATTTGCAATATACGCTGACGTTTCACTCGAATCAACCAACTGATCAGACATCTTCAGCTAAATTATCGTGCAATATCCCGATCTAAAAAGTTAGTGGATCGTTTTTACTTATTTCGCAAACTGAATGTAAAGAAAACCAGTGGAGATTCAGTAGTGGCACGAGTAACCAAGAAATAAAATTTGAACACTCAGAAAACTTAGAATTATGTACGGCACTACATAAGCGTACAGTTCGGAAAACCAATTACGTGCTTCTCAACTAGACTGAACTGCACGGCTTTCCGAAATAAAAACCGAAATCTCTGAGGTATTACGTAACCAATACACATGCGAAATCAAGTCAAAGTGTTAACCGATTGCAGGATGACACTAGTTTGGACCGCTTAAAATTAAAACAGTTGTCTCACACCTCTGCTCACTGTTTCTATTATGCTTTTCTTGTACTTTCTTCTCTTGCTTCGCGTGCTACACGGAATGTGGCGACTTGAACTTCCGCACATTTGTGCAAAGTTCTATGTCGAAAACAGACAGACAGACAAAACAGTTGGGACGAAATGAGTGAACCATTCATATATGAACAGGAAGTTACATTAGGGCCCGCGTGGCTGAATTGAATAATCAGGTCTTGTGCAATAGACGTGGTTCACATTCTTGCATCTTGAATTTGAGTTGGTAGCTCACCGTGCTACCACCCGCTAGTGTTTTCTTCGGGTGCAATGCAGAACGTGTAAGTTCTCGAGGGCCCTCGATACCATACTAAAATTAAATCAAGAACATGTCTTTACAGGTTGCAGGACTTAGTGATAGAATTTTAAACCAATACTCGCTATTAGAGCAAACACTTAAGAAGAAACGACTAAAGAAGGCTCCGGGCCAGCAGTTATTAACGAAAATTCGAATCAGAATAACCAGAACGGTGCAAGACTATGTGGTCGGGGAGAGTAACCTCGAATACGCCAACAAAATGGAGCTAACTGAAAGAACGTACACGTAGGTCGAGCAGTAATATTAGATATTCTAAGGTATTACAAACGTAAACAAACACCTACTTCGATAGCCTGAACATACCGTGCGATTTAAACTGCAGCCATTTCAGTCATGGTTTCTATAATAGTATTTTGCGAAAACTCATCTATAGTTTCAACAAAACACGAATTTACAGCAACTGTGTCCGTACATAAACAGACCACAAACCAACTGGTACACCCTAACATTAAAAGTAGAACGACCACCAATTAAAACAACAAGACCACCTTCAATACATGGACAAAATGGCGGCTAGCAGCCAAACATCACTGATGCACTTAAACAAATCGGTATCAGTAACAAGATGAGATTTAGAAATCTCAACATACATACCGTCTCTTTTTACACACTTTAACTTTAATTTCCTTAAATGGCCACCTTGAATTAAGTAAGGAAGTTCATATAAGAAACCTTCAAAACGTCTTATAGTACACAACTGGGGCCTAATCAATTTACATCTGATCATAACCAACTCTCCTACACTTAAGCCCTCTATACCATCATTCTAACTTCGGACGAGCTAACTGGCAGCCCCAGTATCATTTGCAGCCATCAAATTACAAAAGTGGATTCTGTGAAGTAGCTTCCCAGGACCACAACAATTTAGTGTTCCGCGGTCACTTCGATCCAGTTAGTGATTCAGGGATTCCGAAGGATGGAAGGATTAACAAATTAAGCACTATATCTTCTACATAAAGTACAAGGCTTCCTCGATCTTCTGAATGATGAAAATCCTGTATGTTTGACTCAGTTTTTCATTCACCCTGCCACTAAAGTGATATCGAAAAATTAGCATATGGAATGAGAGTTAGTCATCTACAATATTACGAGTTGTCAATCGGTAATTTGAATAACTGTTTCCAAAGAAAAGTTAGTTTTAATATGGCGATCCCATTTCGTTCATATTTCACGTTCTATATTACAACGGTTTAATAAATCCATACATTTCTGCTATATTAATTTTTTAGCGCGCGAACTTTGGAAACGGAGTGAATTTTACACGCTCTTGTTTAGTATTGGGTTTTGTTTTGTTATACGCTCCAAAGGTCTACAGATTCACTTCAAATCAGTTTGTTCTGATCGAAGTTAGTTTACGTTTCAGACTAAATTCTATTAAATTATAGGAAGTTGTGTTCTTATAACTTAAGTTATATATATATATATATATATTTTTGTGCACTCATTGTCTTTTCATCACTGATCTATAAAGGTTGTATATATTTGAAGCCATATTTAATTTTTCCCCGATTCGTTTTAAAAAACAGGCCTATCAAAAGAAACCGCTGCGGAAGGGTTATGTGACAGTTTCCAGTGGATAAGGGAATGCAGTGTGATAACTGCAAGAGATGGATTCACAGTATGTACACAAACCTTACTCCTGCAGCATACAAACGCTGCTGCAAACCTCTAGCAAACTGGTTGTGCAACGACTGCTGTAGTAGTCCGTATTATAGAAACCATTGCAACTCTCAGTGGGGCTTGAAAGTTCATGGACTGCAAGCGTCCTCCACCACAAGCAAAATGCTCAGATAACGATGACGTGACTAGCGTCATCGACAAAACAGCACATGTCCCCGATGCGTCCTTGCCAATAAGTGAGTGCCCTTCAGCATGGAAGAACGCCCACCACATTCCAGACACCCAGGCTGCCCCCACGATACTGGATAAGCCCTCCAGTGACAGTAATGGAAAGACTGCCGCGAAGAAGAGGCGTACCAGGGGTCAAAAGCCTGCAGCTCAAGTCACTCAAGGACTGGTGGATCAAGCCTCATCCATACCGGTGAGTAGCAGGCAGATAAATACTACTACGATTAGCGAGGAGGACGCCAATGAACGGCGTAATGTAGTCTCTCGCAAATAGCGAGGTCAGGATAACACATTGGCTGCACCGTCCACGAAGGACAGAAATACACTTACACCGCAGAGCAAGAAAGCCACGGCAAGCAAACCTGATCTCTCTGACAGATCTCTCATTCTCCATAAAGTGGAGAATGGATCTCCGATCCCGGGGCCAGATTCGAGCATGACCTTTAATTGGTTAAGCCCCTTTTAGACAAGCTACTGCTGCAAACAGTATCAGGAATTACTATACACAGCGTATATAGAATAGGCCAACAGCCTGACCCTGCAGTAAGTCAGCCTGTACGTCTCCTCAAAGTCGTACTAAACTCGAAATGAGAGGGATGCTATTCTAAACAACTCTCAAACTCTCAATGGATCAGGGATATTTGTCCCGCCGACTAAGCCTAGCAGACCGTGTCAAAAGACAGGCTGCGGCCCTAGAATTAAGCGAGCGACTCCGGAAAAGCGAGAAGAACCTTAAGATTAAGGGTTTCCGAGTTGTCCGAGTTCGCAGTTTAATGATACCGAAACCTCTGTGGGTGGTGTCGGGAAAGCACCAATCTGAATTAACAATCTGCTACACAGACACCCGCAGCCTGTTAAATAAACGGACTAAGCTGGTTAACCTGATAGACTCCGGAAACCCGGATGTAATTATTATCACAGAGACATGGCTCGCACCCGATGTCACGTCGAAATGCATAGGGTGGACCGACTGAGCCGGAGAGGAGGTGGCGTAGTCACCTACCTCAAGAAATGCTTAACCGTGCGTAGTGTCGAAGCACTCGTTCACGAAAGTGAGTTGTGCGAACTTCTACGCTGCAGACTTAAATGTATAGGCCAAGACATTGACCTCATTGCTGTGTTCCACAGTCCTGACTGCAGTGTAGATGACTTCCTGATGGAGAAGCTAGGCTCCTGGACTTCGAAATGTCGAAGTCTCGTAGTCGGCGACTTCAACACCCCAACAGTTGGCTGGTCGAGCCTAACAACTCCATCTTCAGTCGACTCCTTTGATCATAAACTGCTGGAATCCAGTATATCTCTAGCCCTAGTCCAACATATCATTAAGCCCACGCGCTATGACTCACAGTACTCCTCCTCAACTCTGGACCTGGTGTTCTCCCACAGTGAGGATGTGGATTTCATACATCTTCCTCCGTTAGGAAGAAGTGACCATGCTGTGCTCACTTTCGAGTTCACAGCAACGGCGGCAACGGCCAAAACCCCAGCTCGACCAAACGTTTGGAAAGCTGATGTAAATGCAATCGTCTCAGCAGCCAACTCAGTGGACTGGTACATCAACCTAGAGTCCCAAGTAGAAGCCGCATGCAACCAATTTAAACAACTTTACGCCCAAGTAACTGAACGTTTCATCCCTTGGTCTGTCCCAAAGTGTCGGAAACATTGCTCTCCTTGGATAAACCCAGAGATTCGTAAGTTACTCAGACGTAAACACAAATGTTGGAACTTGTTTGCCACACTAGAGACTTCTGAGACTAGGGAATTATATAACACTGCTAGAAATAAAGCACACCTAACTCGAAATGCAAAGGCACAACCTAAGAAAAATTTCTCGTACATGAATTTCAGGTGGCACAGTGGTTAGGACTCTCGCCGACCATGCACATGGTCCGGGGTTCGAGCCCACGCCGACGCACACCTGATATTTATGGTCGGCCTGCAAAATTTGAGCTACCGATATCCATGCAGAAAATTCCATACTTGTACCAAAAATACAGTGTGGAGTCAAGCTGTAACCAAAAATAAAAAAACATCCAATGGTGTCCCAAACCTGATTATTGACAATGACACAATCGAAGAAGATCAAGGAAAAGTCAAGGTAATGGCAAACTACTTCTCCCAAGTCTTCACTCAGGAGTCATCACTGCCTACAGGATCGGCTCTGGCTGCATCAGAAGAACATGGGATAGATTCCGTTGAGATCGACCTAGGCATCTTGCTCAACTGCTTAATGAAACTAGATGCAGGGAAATCAATGGGTCCTGATAATCGTAATCCTAGGCATCTCAAGGAGCTATCAGCCCACATAGCCGGCCCCTTGACCACGGGCTTCAAGCCGTCTCTCCTAAATGGAGTGTTACCGCGTGATTGGGAAGACGCCATAGTAACCCCCATCCACAAAGGAGGATCAAGACAAAGGCCTTCAAATTACGGGCCTATCAGTTTCACCAGAACTTTAATCAAGACAATGGAAAGAATCATCAAGAAAAGCATCATGGCACATCTGGAAAACCGCAGCTTGTTATCTAGAGCACAGCATGGCTTGCGGAGGAAATTCTCATGCCTGTCATATCTCCTCACTGCAAGAAAAAGCCGGATCAAATCAAAGGACAACAGAAGAACCGTTGACGTTGTCTTCACAGACTTCTGTAAAGCCTTTGGTAAAGTACATCACAAAAGACTATTTATGAAGCTGGAAAACCTTGGTATCAAAGGCAGATTACTAGACTGGCTCAGGGAATTCCTCATGGATAGGAGGCAGAGGTTTAGGATCAACTTGAAACTCTCCTCTTGGACAGCAGTACGTAGAGGAGTGCCACACGGCACGGTACACGAACATCTATTTATTCTGTATATCAATGAGTTACCTCTGCTCACCGACTCCCCTATGGTCCTATACGCAGATGACTTAAAAATTCGGAGAGAGCTGAAGGGCGACAGTGATGCGTTCAATTCGTAAGAGGACCTCAACAAATTGTCAGGGTGGTCCGTAGAATGGATGCTCCCGATCAATGTGGCAAAATGTGCAACCATGCGCATTGGACAAGCAAGCACAAGATCCTACGAACTAGAGGGAATAACACTTCCATCAGATCAGACTCACTTGGACTTAGGTGTCATAGTTAGCCACGACTTAAAAACTACAGCACACTGTCGAGAGGTGGCTGCACGTAGTTTCAGGTCCTTATAAGGCAATTCGCAGAGAATTAACGCGAATCACCAGAGATATGTTCATCTCCTTATACACATCTATGCTGGGGTCAAGAAGGGAAAACAGAATTCAGGCCGCCAGTCCTTGTCTGAAAGGGGTGTCAATCACGTCTCGTAAACCGATAATGCCCAGCTCTTGCTACGCTGGGACTCACGCTGTTCCTCGAAGCTTCTCAGAAACGCTTAGTAATAACGGACGCAAAAACCAAAACACCGATTGGCCGCTCGAGGATTCTTTATTGTAACACCAACATATAAAAAATAATTCCTCTAAGTTCTGTGAACAAATATTACAATAATAAATCACAATATTACTTCTGACGGTTTATTGCTGACTTCTTTCTGAACAGCGACCGATGAGACGATGACTGTCGTATTGATGCCTCCGCGAAAATTGGGGAAGTTGTTTTTGAGCAAACAACAATGAATTGATCGTTCAATCTTCAACTACATTGACACTCGCCGGCAAAATAC